AATTGGGACATTTGGGGACACTTTGAGGGCATCTGGGGGACATTTTGGGGACGGTTGGGGACAGTTGGGGACACTCTGACGGCATCTGTGGCCATTTTGGGGACAGCTGGGGACATTTGGTGACAATTGGGGGCAATTTGGGGACATTTTGGGGACACATGGGAACACTTTGAGGGCGCCTGGAGGACATTTGGGGACAGTTGGGGGCAATTTGGGGACATGTGGGGACACTTTGAGGGCACCTGGTGACCCCTTGGACCCCATGGTGACCTCTTGGGACACCTTTGTGACCCCTAGTGACCCCTTGGTGACCCCTAGTGACCCTTTAATGACCCTTTAATGACCCCTAGTGACCCCTAGTGACCCTTTAATGACCCCTACGATCCCTAGTGAGCCTCTAATGACCCCCTCATGACCCCTTGGTGACCCTTTAATGACCCCTAGTGACCCCTTGGTGACCCCTTAATGACCCCTTGGTGACCCTCGGTGACCTCGATGACCCCCTGATGACCCCTAATGACCTCTTGCTGACCCCTTCATGACCCTAGATGACCCCTGTTGACCCCTTTGGTTTGGTGACCCCCCGTTGACCTCCAGTGACCCCTTAATGACACCCTGGTGACTCCTTGGTGACCCTGATGACCCCAGATGACCCTTAGTGACCTCTTACAGACCCCTTTGTGACCCCAGATGACCCTTGTGTGACCCCAGATGACCCCTAGTGACTCTTTCATGACCCCCAGTGACCCCTAGTGGACTCCTAGTGACTCTTTAATGACCCCTGGTCACCCCTTGGTGACCCCCACTGATGACCCCCTGATGACCCCTCGATGACACCTAATGACCCCCTGATGACCTCTGATTGACGCCTTAATCACCCCTTGATGAGCTTTAGTGACCACTTGGTGACCCCCAATGACTCCCTGATGACCCCTAATGACCTCTTACTGACCTCTTTTGACCCCAGGTGACCTTTGATGACCCCCTGGTTGCCCCCTGGTGACCCCTTCATGACCCCTTGTTGACCCCTACTGACCCTTTAATGACCCGTTAATGACCCCTTAGTGACCCCCTCGGTGACCCCGATGACCCCTTGTTGACCCCTACTGACCCTTTAATGACCCCTCAGTGACCCCGATGACCCCTAGTGACCCCTTTATGACTCCTTGGTGGCCCCTAATGACCCTTTAATGACCTCTAGTGACCCCTTGGTGACCCCTTCATGACCCCCGATGACCCCTAGTGACCCCTTCATGACCCCTTGTTGACTCCAACTGACTCTTTAATGACCCTTTAGTGACGCCTCGGTGACCCCGATGACCCCTAGTGACCCTTTCGTGACCCCAACTGACCCTTTAATGACCCTTTAGTGACACCTCGGTGACCCCGATGACCCCTACTGAGTCCTTCATGACCCTTCGCTGACCCTCGCTGACCTCTTTTGACCCCTTCATGACCCCAGATGACCCCTCGCTGACCCCTTCACGACCCCTTCGTGCCCGCAGGTGCCCCCCGGTCACGTGGTACCCACCCGGATGTGCTCCATGTAGGCGGTGACGCCGCTCAGCCCATAGGTGGCCACCAGCTCCCTCAGCAACGTCGCCCCCTTGTGGTTGGCGGCCACCTGCGCTCGGAGGTCCGCCACGTTGTCCCGCAGCGCCCGCGTGCCGCTCCGCACCAGGACCTCCGACACCGCTACAAGGGGATGGGGACGCGGCGTTACCATGGCAACGGGATGCGGTGTTACCATGGCAACGGCGGCACTGCGTCCCCGTGTCCCCATGTCCGGTTCTGCACCTCTGACACCGCTACAAGGGGATGGGGACGCGGCGTTGCCATGGCAACGGGATGCGGTGTTACCATGGCAACGGTGGCACAGTGTCCCCATGTCCCCATGTCCCCCTCTGCACCAGAACCTCTGACACCGCTACAAGGAGATGGTGACGTGGCGTTACCATGGCAACGGCGGCACTGTGTCCCCGTGTCCCCCTCTGCACCAGGACCTCCAACACCGCTATAAGGGGACGGGGACGCGGCGTTACCATGGCAATCGGCGGCACTGTGTCCCCATGTCCCCGTGTCCCCATGTCCGGCTCCGCGCCAGGACCTCCGACACCACTACAAGGAGCAACGGGACGCGGCGTTACCATGGCAACGGCGGCACTGTGTCCCCGTGTCCCCATGTCCCCCTCATCACCAGGACCTCCAACACCGCTATAAGGGGACGGGGACACGGCGTTTCCACGGCAACGGTGGCACCGTGTCCCTATGTCCCCATGTCCAGCTCTGCACCTCCGACACCGCTATAAGGGGATGGGAACGCGGCATTTCCATGGCAACGGGACGCGGCGTTACCATGGCAACGGCGGCACTGTGTCCCCATGTCCCCATGTCCCCATGTCCGGCTCCGCACCAGGACCTCCGACACCGCTACACGGGGACGGGGACGCGGCGTTTCCAAGGCAACGGGACGAGGCGTTACCATGGCAACGGTGGCCCAGTGTCCCTATGTCCACATGTCCCCATGGCAACGGGATACAGCGTTACCATGGCAACGGTGGCACTGTGTCCCCGGGTCCCCGTGTCCGGCTCTACACCAGCACCTCCGACACCGCTACAAGGGGATGTGGACACGGTGTTTCCATGGCAACGGGACGTGGCGTTACCATGGCAACGGTGTCCCCGTGTCCCCATGTCCCCATGTCCGGCTCTGCACCTCTGACACCACTACAAAGGGATGGGGGCGCGGCGTTACCATGGCAACGGTGGCACTGTGTCCCCGTGTCCCCATGTCCCCCTCTGCACCTGCACCACCGACACCGCTAAAAGGATGGGGGCGGGGGAGGTGAGAAACCCGGCGTTTCCATGGCAACGGGGTACGGCGTCACCATGGCAACGGGTCACTATGGCAACGGGACATTGTGTGACAGTGTCCCCATGTCCATCTCTGCACCAGCACCTCCGACACCGCTAGAAAGGGACGGGGACGCGGCGTTACCATGGCAACAGGACGCTGCGTTACCATGGCAACGGGACGCGGTGTTGCCATGGCAACGGTGGCACAGTGTCCCCACGTCCCGCCGAGCTGCTCTGCACCAGCAGCTCTGATACAGCGATAAGGGGATGTGGATCCGGCGTTACCATGGCAACGGGAAACAGGGTTGCCATGGCAACGTGGCGCTGTTGTCACCGTGGCAACGGGTCGCCATGGCAACGGGGCGACGCGTCCCCACGTCCCCGCTCCAGCGCTGCTGGCACCGCTGCGGGGATACGGCGTTACCATGGCAACGGGACACAGCGTTACCATGGCAACGGGTCGCCATGGCAACAGGTCACTGTGTCACTGTGCCCCCATCTCACACTGTCCCCATGGCAACGTGTCACCGTGTCCCACTGTCCCCATCTCACACGGTCCCCATGGCAACGGGGGTGGGGTGGGGTGTCACTGTGTCACCATGGCAACGTGTCACCACGTCACCATGGCAACAGATCACCTTGTCACTGTGTAACCACGTGACGTGTCCCCATGTCACACTGTCCTCATGGCAGCGTGTCACCATGTCAGCATGGCAACGTGTCCCTATGTCCCCACGGCAACAGGTCACCTTGTCACTGTGTCACCATGGCAACGTGTCCCCATGTCCCACTGTCCCCATGGCAAGGTGTCACTGCTCCCCATGTCACCATGGCAACGTGACCCCATGGCTACGTGTCACTGTGTCCCCATGTCCCACTGTCCCCATGTCATTACATCGCTCTGTCACCATGGCAACGCGTCCCCGTGTCACCGCTCCCCATGTCCCCATAGCCCCATCTCCCTGTGTCACCATGTCCCCATGGCAACGTGTCACGGTGTCCCCATGTCGCTCTGTCCCCATGTCATCACATCACTGCGTCACCATGGCAAT